AACTAGTAACATATTCTATATTATCTTAATTTTCGCAATCGCAAATAACTGTGCTTAAGATACCATTAGATATTATTCACCTATCGACAATATTCTTATGAGAGTCTTAGTGAGCTAATCACATTGTTTCAAGTAATATACTCAATTTTGTCTCCCTGCGCTTATAGCTTATTTGTTTCAAGTCTATTTAAATTTTCTCGATTGAAGATAATTATATTAAGTTTCATACGAAATCACTGTTTTGAGAAATGTTCTCATACATCATTAAGAGCTTAAGGACTCAACAAAAGATTTCCAACAGTTTCTTTTTCGTGCTATTTGTCTTAATTCGTTGAATGATTTGCTAGTTTCTGTATGCACTGTTTTCTTCCAGATCAATTTAGGGCTGCATCTGCGTCGTGTTTCTTGTGAGTTCTAGCTTAGCGTGGTGTGCGTGATCACAAGATTTACGTAATGCATGCCCCATCCACCCATAATTTCGCTTTCGTATATAACCGTTTATACTTATTTGGCCTGCGAGCCTCTATAACTCTTAATTTGTTATCGTTCTGGGCCAATATATCCGAAGTATATTTCGCAGACAGCGGTTGATAAACGTTTGTATCTTGGTTTTAGTTTTAATAGACATGAGCCAGGTCTCAGAACCGTAGCGTTTTGTCAGAGCATAGCACTGAATAATTGTTATCTTACTATACTTAGCATTTAGTCGAGCAGTAGCATTGCTATCTGAAATCACGTGCAATTCAAGTACGACATTTTTAATGCTTAGAATCAGATATATACCAACATCATTAATATGAGGAATGCACGTATATGACATGTCTGAGTATATTATTAAGTCACCTTCGGCTGTACGTTGTTCATCAGCAGTATTCCACCTCATCTCACTATTTCTAGAACCTCATTACGTAGATCGGTTGTCAGCTGTGCTCAGTCACATATGCTCACACCAATTGTAGAAGCACTTTTTCCACTCCGATTGAGACACCTCCAAAACAAGCGGAATAGTCGCCATACGACCAGATCGTCATGTGACAGATCTTCCATTATCAGCTCACGCACGGCATCAATGTCCTCTGATGCCGTTCTGTGGACGATTTTCATGGAATTTGTCGTTGAGCGAGCGTCGGCCACGATTGAATTCATTAAACCAGTTTTTCGCAGTGCTATAGAATGGTGCTTCATCGCCATACAAAGGTTTAAGTTCATCAATGCACTCTTGTTGTGGTAATACACATCGAAAGTTGTGAAAAATAATCGCACGAAAATGTTCACGTCTTAATTCCATTTTTTGATCGAAATGAATTTTTCAAGTCTCTGTAAATAAAACAATTCACAATTAAATGACAACACGTTCTGAGTGATGTTATGCTAAAAAATGTCAACCTTTCCAATGGAAATGTCAGATTGCACCGCACCTGGTAATACTTAGTGTTGCCTAGGCCAGATATATAAATAGCAGCCCTCGTATGGCGGTGGTAATAGTTAAAAGTCAGAGTCACATGGGCAGAATGATTGCATTCATGATTTCCATTTGATGAACAGTTGCATTTTACAACTAAGAACAGCAAAGAACAGCAAAAGTGTTAGAAGGGCCCGGCTCTCTCCCAAGGAGGAAACTATACCCATTTTAGTATTGAGACACATATTTATGAATGATTAAAGTCCTTATTATTATTTAACACAAATTTTATACAAAAATTTAAGAAAAATTTAAGATTCATCCGAATCGTCATTTTCTATTTGAATTGGAGTTTCAAATTAAAACTATGACTTGACCCGAGCCAAATTTTTCAAAACTGCTGTTGACAATTTTTGGTGATTGTTTGAACTTTGCAACAAACGGCAGCTGCTATCAGTAAAAAATAATCAAAGCCGACTAACTATTCAAGCCACCAGACAGCTATGCGAATACAACAACAACAACAATAACAATAACAATAACAGCAACATCAACAACAAAAACAAATGCAACAAAAATGTCTTTAACTCGGCCGACAATAAATGCAGAATTAAATTTGCAACAGGAAACAAGCAAACAAGCGTCAAATAGCAAGAAAAACACAGTAAATACAACAACAATGAACACAAAATAAAAAAAAAAACAACATAACAAAGAAAAAAGAATTAAATATTGAAACGTAACAGAAAGCATAAATAATTTTAAAGAATAAAAAAAAATGCAAAAACAAAGTAAACAATAATGAAAGATTAAATAAAATGACAAAGCGAGCATTGGTGGCCTTCAGCTGCCGGCATTGTTTTGGGTGGGTGAGCTGCAGCAGTAAATGTGCGAACGCGGAGGGGCAGTTGCCAATATGTCAATGTGCCAATGTGCGAGTAGTAGAAGTGCTTCATTGCCGCTTTGCTGCTTAAAAGCGACAGAACTTCATGACAAACTTAAGATCTTATAACGCAAGTATTGTATAAAGTGTTGTTGTGCTGTACTGTGTGCACTGTGTTGTTGTAATTGTTTCTACAGTTGTTGCAGTTAACTCACAGGAAATTATCATATAAATGAGCGGGAAGGAGCGAGGCAATGAAACATGACTTGCTCGTTTGTGCGTAAGGAAATTTAAATGCTGTTTTCCTGTAAATATTATGAGACGATGTAGCTGCGGGTAGAGAAGATGTTGCTGGTTTGTATTTATTGGAAAGGAATTATTCAAAAATGTATCACAGTTTACGGTATTTTGTCCTCAATGTAGATTTAAACTACTTATTATGTTATGCTCTGTTCAATTTTATTAATAAATATAGCAGAAAATTAATGGGATTATCTCCACACGCCTCAGAATTTTAGTATGAAAAAAATTATATTAGGATATTTGCAAATGTGGGCTGCAAAGATTTGCTCTCACATATTTAAGGTATAGTGTAAGAAAAGTATTATTTTCCAACAGAAGGCTTTACTTTTCTGTATAAGTCCGATCGGGATATGTTAGATGGCGTTAAAAATATGAGATATTGTACAAAAAAGCTTTTGGTTTTGGAATTGGTTGAGTCAGATTTCTTTGAGCGCGCGTCAAAGATGATTATTTCGGTAATTTCGATGTCAGATGCACCACATACTGGAAGCCCAACTGTTGAAAATGCCGATAAAATCAGGAAATTTGTCGAGTCTGACCAGTTCGAGTCATGTAAGCACTGTTTCGATTGCTAAACAGCTTAGATAGGTAGGTTGGAGTGGCGGTCTTGTTTCCAAAAAAGCCACTTGAGCTCAAATGATGCCCCATTGTGATACCATAGGAATGCCATTGTACGTACAGAGATTTAAATGAGTGTACAACCAATTCTGAAGAAGGTACCGACTCCCCCCATTAGGTAAAGGAAAACTAACCTGACAGTTTTATAAACTTGGTCAGGTCCCTAACATTACAGGATGACAGTTCAGTCAGATCGGTGAAAAAAGGGGATCCGAAGATCTTAAATCTTTTTCTACCTAAGAAAGGACACTGACATATGAGATGGCCCCAGTCTCCCCCTTATCCTCAGAGCCACAACCTCGGCAAAAATCATAATAGGGTAGACCCAGTCTCGTAGGTGAGGAGGTTCCGCCTTAGTTGCAGTAGCTGATTAGTTCGTTTCTTGTCTAAATCAGACCAAGTAAACATAGAAATCTAGCATTAAGGTTCGTCAGCCCAGTTTTGCCTGGCTATGCTCAGTTATTTTTGTTTAATTGCCAGTTTAATTGTAGGAAGTATAACGACTATATCTGAGAAGATAATGTTAGGGACCCAAAAGCTAAAGATTGCACTAAAAACCAGGAGCATTTGAAACCATTCAAATTAGGTTAAATACAAAAAGAAGCTCGATGTATGGGTGCCACACGAGTTAACCAGACCTGGTCCAGACCTAGCACCAACTAATTACCATTTATTCCTATTTATGACGAACGACTTTCTTGTGAAAAATTTGCGTCAATAAAATCTTACGAAATTCGATTGTCTCGATAGATTTTGTCCCGATGAAGTCATCTATGAGAGAGGCATGATGAAATTACTCTCAAGATAAACACAAATTATCGAACAAAACGGCGCATATTTAACCCTGATTGGGGTCAAATATCATTCTAGATCAATGGTAATTCTAACAATGGTAAATAAGCCTTTCATTTTCTGAAAAAATAATGGATTTCGTTTTACTACTCCTTTTATGTATGCACGAAAGAGATTAAAATGTAATAATCTCACATTTGGTATTCAATAAATGCATACCTACTACTGACTGCTTTTCTACCCTTCATAGAAAGCAGGAATATGAACTGACTATGAATTTCGGCATATGTCTGCCGCGGGTTCAAGTTACATGGTCCATTCGATCAGTCTTTTCTTGACTATTTTTTGCAGTAAATGTGGCCGTATGGTGTCAATGGCGTCAGTGGTGTCATGAACATTGGCTTCCAGTGCTTCAAGATTTGCCGGTTTGTCGACATATATCTATGATTCAAAATAGTCCAATAAAAAATAATCGAGATACGTTAAATCGCACAAATGAGAGCGTCAATTAACAGGACCACTTCTGGAAATAAGTTGTCACCAAATTGATTTCGATATAATTTGATTGTCGCACTGTATGTTAATTTGCGCCATCTTGTTGGAAACAAATGTCAAATGTCATCGATGCTTAACGAATTAAATTTATATAGCTCGATTGTGCTCCCCATTCACCGTAAGAGGAAATCCTAACTCTGTTCTCATTTCAAAAGAAATAAGGACAGATGATGCCACTGGTGTGTAAACCGCTCCAAACAGTCAAGGTGAATGGATGTAATGGTGATTCGTTAACGGCTTGAGGACTATCTTCGCTCAATATGCGGCAATTTTGCTTATTAACGTAGCCATTGTATTGACCGGAAAATGGACTAAGTGTTCTATAAACTTAAGTTTCCACAATTTAGAAGCGTTGTTTTAGATCTGTTTAGAGTTTTAGAGATTCATAAGGAATTGCCAAACCTTACTGAACACAGTTTGATTTAAAGTTCTGGAATTCAGTCCAATTTACATCCAGAACTGTTTTGGACTGCTACATACCTCTACTGTGGCCATGACCTCGTTGGCTGACAGACTCCGTTCACCTTTAGCAACCCACTGTTTCGATTGTTCCTTGGTCTATAGCGTGTTGTGATTGATCCATGTTTCGTCCACAGTAACCAATCGGCACAAAAATTCGTTCGGATTACGGCTGAACATCGCTAAATACTCTTTTGAAGTGATCACACGATTGCACTTATGGTCGAGTGTGAGCAATCGCGGCACCTATCTCACGGAGAGTTTTTTCACATCCAAATATTCGTGTAAAATATGATGTACCCGTTCAGTTGAGATACCTACAGCATGAGCCAACTCACGTACTTTCATTCTCCAATCATCCAATATCATTTCATGGATTTTATCGACGATTTCCGGCGTGATCACTTCTTTTGGGCGACTTGAACGTTCGGTGTCACTAGTGCTGGTACGACCACAACGGAACTCTGTAAACCATTTCTTAACCATTAAAATTGATGATGCCGAGTCCCCGTAGTATTTATCAAGTCTTTCCTTAGTTTCAGTGATGGATTTTTTACGTTAAAAGTAATGCTTAATCAGCACACGAAATTCAATTTTTTTCATTTTCGTAAAAATTCACAAGGTTGTCTGCTTTGAACGGCTATCAAACACCAACTGAACGACGTAGCTTGCTCAAAATTAGAAAGTTGCCCACTGGTAAATTACATCTGAAGTCAGCACTGTTGCATTTGAAGTAACTGCGCGGGAAATTCAAAAAGTCACTGACTTATCAAACCGCCTTCGTATCAAGTGTTGATTTGACTATACTCTAAAGACCAATTTAGGATTTATCAAAGGTTCACTATGATTTTTTTTTACTTATAAGGCTTCTTATAAGGTGACACAATATTCCAATAGACCTAAGTGAATTCTTACGACAACCGGTATAACCTAACCTAACCTAACCTTAATACATTGAAAACTTTCTTAAATGGGCAACGACAAGACCAGTAATTTTGTCGTATTAAGTGAAACATCTATTTAAAAATGTATCTATATAAAACAGAAACTTCATTTCCACTGGTTTAAAAATAATTTAATTAATAATAATTTAATTTTTTTTTTTAGTATTTACTTTGATTTCTAATATTGCTAAAAATGTTTGGATTTTTGTTAAATTTTGCTATAAATCTATCAACCATATTAGAAATGATTTTCCTTGCAGTGTTATAAATTATACTTTGTTGTCTCCTGCACCAGATGCTGTAAATCATAGCTCTTCAACAATATCACTACTAAAAGGTTTATTGAACTTAAGTTTACTTAAAAATCTTTCCAAACAAAAAGATTTATTACATGAATATAACTCAAGTGTAAGGAAATCATTGCTATATATATGCTCCTTTGGAATATTTTATATATAAAATATCAGAACCGAATGTCCTTTAATTACGGGACGTTGAAAACATGTTTTAAATGTTGACAGCAGCTTGAAAACATTAGCACCCGAACATACAGCAGATGCAGCAGATGCTGTCGCAACTTATTCTGATGAATGGAACAAGCTTTTTGTGCCATTTCGTAATGCAAACACTAACAACAAAGCTACTAACAATAACAATAACAGCAACAGAAACAAAAAGGACATATGAGTACAACCCAAACCCTAACCCCAAGCCAAAAATTGTTGTGCCAGTGAAGCAAATTTACAAATAAATGAATATAGCAGATATATATATACAGCAGATCGGCTGCAGCAGAGCAGTGAGTTACTGTGACATTTATACTTGCATAATTAATTTGCAGTGCAATGCAATGTAGTGACCGACAGCCAGAGACCTGTGTAGTACGTACCAGTTAGCGAGCGGACTACCGTTCTGCGAAGAGCATTGACTACTTTCTGCCTTACACATTCACTGCTATTCCATATTAATTCACTCTATCTTGCTTTGGTTTATTATGTGTAACTATCCTCAGTCGCAGTCAGTGAAACTCCTGCTTACAGTTCCGTTTCCTTTTGGCACTGCTTATGTCGCCATTTTCATAGTTCAACGTTATTACCGCACACAGTTTGCGATGGATGAAATAAAATATTAAATTAACATTATTATTTAAAAAAATTCTATTCATTTTATTATAAAATCACAATATAAAAAGAAAATAGAATAGAATAAAATAATAAATGTGACAACTTTTGCAAATGCGATAGTAAAGTATGAACTAGAAGTGGCGTTCTAAAGTGAACATCTCCACCAATGGATTATTTCAAAATATTCTCGTATAACAAATTTTCTTGTTAAAATTGGTTTGTTTTATTCAAAATAGTGATCTTTTGAATTAATACCAGAACTTTGATGGTCTATATATATTATTTATTGAGTATATATATTGAGCGTGATGTCTGTGACAAGCCTTTTGGATGCTAATACACCCAAAAAAGGCCTTCCATTCATTAATAATTTTAAAACAGTTAGTCGCACAGTGATAAATCATGAATCACAAGTCACAGTTAGTAGTTGAAGTAAAATAGTTCATGCAGTTATATTAAAATATAACATATATTTTAATTGGTTTGTTGCAATGGCAGGTAAGTAGATAATTTTTTGCTAACCACAATTAGCGATTTTTTGCAAAAAAAAATTTTGATGTATTCCATCTAATTTAGTTTGTTTAACAGATCTTTCACTTTTATCGGCTAATGATCTGACAAACTGTTAAAAAAGTTCTTCATTAAAATCAAGTTTCTTCTGAAGGACATTTATAGAGAATATGTTTCGTTGTTTCTTTTTACTGTAAATTTTATTATTAAAAGAAATGTACCGTTTTTCTACTTGAGTTTCCAGTAACTATCCCTGTCCCTCTGAATAAATTCATTAGAACTAGTTTAGTAATATGAGGGTCATGTTAACTGAGAATTTACACGTAATTTAAGTGTTTCATGTTCTATTTCCAAGTTGAAGAAAATCGAAGTAAATACCTTTCTTAACGATCTTAGGGAGCATATAAACTGATACCATTTAAGATAAATCTTGGAAAGTTCCAGCGCAAGTCAAATTATCAGCTTATTCATTCTTCTTTATTCCTACTTCCAGGAACTTAAATGTGAGTGATGTTTGCTAAGCGGTTTAGCTCACCAATTGCCACTCCATAATCTCTCATTTTTTTTATTTTGCTGATTGAATTTCAATAAAAATGGCAACGTAACATCTGTCCCTGATCTGACTTGGAATCAAAACTTTCAACTCGCCTGAAAAACCGTTGCATCATTAGGTAGCCTAAGTGAATGGTTTGTGTCCGCAATATTTCTTATCCTACCGTGCAGTCCATTTCAGACATCAGTGAAAATTGTTGCATCATAATTTCCTTAAAAAGTTTCTCTTTTCTATAGTTAGAATCTTAAATAGTTGATAATTAAAGCCAAAAATACTTTTAAGTCACAAAATCGGTTAGAAATGTCTACCGATGGGATCCACTTATACGCTGAATCCGTTTTACTTTGCACTTTGAATCGTGAAGAAGCAAATCAAGATTAGATGTATTCGGTCGCTCTGTAGTGCGGCAAAAACATTTGATCTCTTGCTAAAGTTTTTTGCTGACATAGTGATATCTCTGTTTAAATTGTTGTAATTCTTTTCCACAGTATTTAAAATTGTTAAAATTTTTGATTTTATTTGATTTTTTGTTTACAAAAAACTTGAAACATATAAATGAAATATATTATTCGTTGAAATTTCTAACAAAGATTCACAATAAATCGTTTATCGCTTCGGTGACATTTTTTTCATGATCTCTGAGATGATTAGAGACTTTATAACTAGTCTGTTAGAACAAAGCAGTAGTGTAGTTGGTTTGAATACAAATTAAAGACTTTAACAAGACACTAATTATTTTTTTGTCACACTTACGAGAAACCAAAACATTTTTTTTTTAATTATAACACTTCGTTCAATAAAGTGTGTGACTGACACATAGATGGCGGCACTAATACTAAATAAATATTTTTTTTCCAAAGTGGCAACCTTTTTAGGTTTACTGTCAAAATCATATGTTAATCCGACCATTTGTTTACAAGTTACAGTGCTTTAAGTGACGCTATTTTTGAGTTTTCAAAAAAAAAATGAATTCAAAGCAATTCCCTGTGCTGATTTATCATTGTTTTTTAATGACAAAAAATACTGTTCAATGCCAGGAATGGCTTGAAAAACATTATTCGGACTCTGCTCCATCAAAAAGAAGCATTTGTTATTGGTATGCCGAATTCAAACGTGGTCGTACAGACACCGATGACGATGACATTCCATCTACTGGACGGCTAAATGACGCTGTTATTCCGGAAAACGTTGAAAAAACACTGAAAATCATTATGTCCGACCGTAAAGTGAAAGTGAGGGAGATTGCTGGCATTCTACAGATATCAGCAGGCAGTGTACACACCATAATACACGAACATTTGGGTATGAAAAAGGTGTTTTTCAAATGGGCGCCGCGTTTGCTCACACCGGAGCAAAACAACAACGAATCGATGATTTAAAGAGCTGTTTGCACATGTTTACGCGCAATAAGTCGGAGTTTTTGCGTCGGTACATCACGATGGATGAAACATGGATCCACCATTTCACTCCAGAGTCAAATCGGCAGTCTGCTGAGTGGCATGCAGCCGGTGAAAGCCGCCCAAAGCGATTAAAGACGCAGCAGTTGGCTGGCAAGGTTATGGCGTCTGTATTTTGGGATGCGCATGGAATAATATTCATCGACTATCTCCAGAAGGGGAAGACTATCAACAGCGACTATTATATAGTGTTATTGGAGCGTTTGAAAGACGAAATCGCAAAGAAACTCATATAGCCTCATATGGCGAAGAAAACAGTTTTGTTCCACCAAGACAATGCACCGTGTCACAAGTCGATGAAAACGATGGCAAAATTGAACGAATTGAGCTACGAATTGCTGCCGCACCCACCGTATTCTCCAGATCTGGCCCCCAGCGACTACTGGCTCTTCGCACATCTCAAAAAGATGCTCCGTGGTAAGAGATTTGGCTCAAATGATGAAGTAATCGCCGAAACTAACGCCTATTTTGAAGGCAAAGAAAAATCGTTTTACAAAGGGTATCGAAAAATTGCAAAAGCGTTGGAATGATTGTATCTCCCTAAAAGGGGACTATGTTGATGAATAAAAACGAATTTTGGCAAAAAAATGTGTTTTAATTAGTTAGCCACACACATTATTGAACGAAGTGTTATATTCTCTAGACATTTAGAGAATTCACCAGTTATTACACTATAAAAATAAGATTTTATTCTTTGTAATATTCTTGATTAGGTGTCAAGTCCATGCACTTTAATAAAAATTTTAAATACTCTTTGGTGAAAACACTTGAGGTAAACATGGATTTCAGTTGGTCAACTGTAGGTATTTATATATTCTAGACCATTTAATAGCCGCGTGCGTGCCTTATGGTCCCTATCATTAGATAGGGTCATTAGATAAACTGTCATCAACATAAACTTGTTTTATCAAAGTTATTCCAATTAAAAATGACTTACACTGTATATTCTTATATTATAGTATTTTATTTCATAAGTTTATTATGTACTAAATTTGTGCACTAATTATGAATTATCAAGATGCTTGGCATGATTGAAAAAATTGTACCAAGTTCAATTCTCTTCGTATTAAAAAAATATTACGTTGTAATTCATTATTAATAAAAAAATTCCAATTAAAGGTCGGATCAATAAAAAACACCGCTCATTGGTACACTACAGCAGAGTGTTGTTAAGAATTCTTAGATCTGCATACTTTATTTCTATTATTATATATTTTACACATTATCAATACAAAGAATACTCCTCTTAAAAAAAAAACAGTAGAAAATAAAAATAATAAAAGTGCCGTTGCCGTACGTATGTATATATCTTGAAATATGAAATATTTTCTAAACTCTTTATAATTTTGGACATATTTTTAAAGCACTTAGAATGCATAATACTTAAATAAATAACATAAAATAATATTCATTAAAATATTCTTTTCTCCCTTTCATTTAATAATTTTTTTTTATTTTTTGTAATATCATTTGCTCTGACATTGCTTAACAAACATTAAGTAGACAGAGAATATACAGCTAAGTCAACAAATGCGTTTCTTGTTACTACAAAATATCACTGCACTACCGGGGGAAGAGGAAAACAAAAACGAAAACAAAAACAAAAACAAACGCGTCACATATTAGTGTTGAAAGTTGTTGTTGCAGCAGAGACACGGACGCCTTGACCATTTTAAGTTTTATATGACAACAAACGCTCGGCGGCAACGTCAACAGAGCCGTCAGTACGAGTAATTTGGCTCAAGCAAAGCAAACATAATCATAAAATAAAGACTCTTTCTTAGTAGAGGAAGAGACAAAAATTAATAAAGATAAAAAATGAGAAAAGGTAAATAGAGTAAAAACGAAAATTCAAATACAAATACAAATACAAATACAAATAAAGACAAATAAATGAATGATATAGCTGCAGAACAAATCTGCAAGGAAGTATTTTTGTGACAAGTAAATTTTACGGTTGAATATTTTGCGGCAGAGTTCAGTGTTTTCGTCCCTCTCCAGCTGTAACTTCTAAACAAAAAAAAAAAAATAACATTTGCTTATTTCTTTCATGTTGTACTCTTTCGTCTGCATGCTCCCACTATTAGCACAGCTAATGCTGCTGTTAGTTTTCCTGTTGCGAAAGTTGTAGGCGAAAATATAACGAAATGCGGCTTTCCAACAATAACAACAACAACAACAAAAACAACAACCACAACACAACGATGACACTAACAATAACAGCGCAGAACAGAGTCAGTGCACAATGAGTGCAAATGACATTTGTGGATAAACTGATGGCAGATTACGTATACATTTACACATGGATTTTTTTTTATTTTTATTTATTTTTATAAAAAAAAATTAATAAGGGTGTTTGTTGTACTATATGTGACTGTGTTAGTGTATGCACGTATGAAGATTATGTGTTCGTTTAAAAACTTTTATGTGTAGTAAAATACAGGGTACGGTATTTACTCCTACATGCACTTGATTTCTCCGAGTTCTTCGAGTTTCTTTCCTGAGTTCTTTTGCAAATACAATTTTATGTGAAATTATAAAGCACCCATTTGCTGTTTTACTGCAATTGTTTTGTTTTTTGTGTGGGTTACAGTAAAACTAGAAAGAAAAATGTTGCAAAGATCACGACGGCAAAGGAGTAAAATTTCTTTGAAATTTCCGTTTGTTTTGTTGACAATAGCGGAGTTTTCAAGTTGAATGCACAACCTCCAGGCATTCAAAATCCTGTAATTCGAGGCAGTCAGACAAGTGTCTGTGAAAATGTTGCTTCATTGCCGGAAACAATGCTTTCTTTACGCTACTATAATTTCTATAAATATCTATGTTTGAATATTAATTATCCGTTACTTTTATTACGAATACTCACTACGAAAAGAAAACTTTTCTAGCATTGTTAACCCATTAAGTACCAGGCAAGTTCAAACTTCGAATTTTATTGTGAAATTTTCAAAAAGGTCTTATATTAAGTTAAAAATATTCACTGCAAAATCAAATTCTTTTTTGAAAAGTAGTTTTCCGGAAAAGTGTCGTTTGGTCAACCACACACTGGGACCCATAGTACATTTTTCTCTCTTCAATAGTACAAACATTTTTATGTGTGTTTTGTTTGCAAATATGGTATTTAGTTACTTTTATGGTGAGTTAAGTATCATTAGGCCTTTTCTTTTGTAAGCACATCACAAAAGAACAACTGCTATGTTATAAAAAACCTTTCATGAAAAATCGCCAAATTTTTTCTTTAAAGAACGCTTTATTTAAACATTCAAATTCGTATATAAATTTTCAAACCCTTAATTAACTTTTCATTTGATACTTAACGTCTTTCCACTCTAATGAGTACAAAGTTATTGCCGATCAAATTAATTGTCTTGGGAAATGTTTAATAATTTTGATGGGAAACTTTAAATACTTTAAAAAAACAGTTTTTTCTAATTTAGTAATTTCATACTTTTTAAACAATTAATATTATACTTTTACTGAATGTATTATCTTTTTTCTACGAATTTATATACGGTTTTACCGATTTTATCCTTAAAATCCTAGAAATCCTTGCAGTATGACCAGTTAGGGTATTTCTTCAGAAAGCAACATCTGCATTATCATAGCAGAAGAGCTGACTTAAATAACAAAAACATAATGCATTTTGAATTATTCGTAAAATCTACGAAAATTCAAGTCATGAAAACAAGTTTCTTCATCTTTTCTGAAACTCTTCTTCTTACACAGGACACAGGTGTTAGGCTCATATCTGGCCGCTTTTGCTTCAGTTTTGGCAAGAACAAATTTTCGGTAAAACATTGGTTTTCTTAGAAATAGAATAATACTCATAACAATCTATCCTTATGCAATGTTTGGTGGTTTTTGCACTTTACATAGTATTACCCGAAGCTGTGGAAAATTAAATTTGGACACATTCCCACAAAGCGTAATAAGAAGATAAATCATTCCCAGCGCGGGCTATAGTTATATTTGATAATCCTTGCCATATAAATTCATGCACTTATCTCCTTGTAGCCATTATGAACTGCATTATTTCATCTTTATCAAGGTAATACTTCTGTCCTTATACTAAAAGCTTGCTTTAAAAGCCTTAATTACTGCATAATATTCATGACAGTGCAGTGCATGTTCCAGCTATTCTATACGCCAAGTTCAATAGGAAACTACTTTGCTTTATCTAAACTGCAAAAAGGCTGTGAACAGTCGACTCCATCTTACTCTAATAATGTGAAGACACAGAACCAAAAAACCCTAAAAAACAATAACTCACCCTATTTACGTAACGAATCATATAGTTATTACATCTTATCTAAATAATCGATTTTCATATATTTATTTATTAGTCCCAAACGTTGGAACCACTATGCCAGTTACATGACAAGTCTATAAGTATGTATAATAATTTCAACACATATTTAAATATTTTTTTTTATTTTTATGTTTTTGTATAAAAATGTCCTTATAAATATATTTCATCTTAAAACTAAATATCTTACAACTAATTGCATTAAAGATATGCAATATACATCATCAAAATGGATCTGAATCTGGTTTTAACTTTCAATCTTACAACTAAATATCTTACAACTAAATATCTTAGAACTAATTGCATTAAATATATGCAATACACTTCATCAAAATAGATCTGGATCTGGTTCTAACAGTCAATGCGAATTTAAAATAGTCAATTTGTTTTTCAATATTCTGAAATAATAATTATGCGAGTCTCTTGCGAGTTAATATAAATCCCGTTTTAGTAGCTTATCAAATGATGCCTGTCCATTAATGCATCCATGTAGGTAATTTTGGATGCTGCAATGCTGCAATGCTGCATATCTAAAAATAGAGAACAGAGGGAGAATATTGTTAAAATTGATGATGTGAATAAATGTTCAAATAAGACATACCATAACATGATCAATCGATTAATCAATTAATGAAGTCAGTGAAAGCAATCGTTTTCGTCATTCATACGCGGCATCTTACGCTTTCATTCATAACTCATAAACATAGCCAAATATACACATTTTCCCATGTTATTTCCTCAATGAAACAAGTACTGGTTTAAGATTTTAGATTCAAGCAATTAGAATACAGCCAGGTTTTTAAAGGAGAAATAACATTTTAATTAAGATTCCATGCAGTCCATGCAAAATCTGACGAGTTATGTTGGTGGTTAAGTTCCTAATCAATACCAGTCTTGAATACCAGTCTTGATATGGATATGAAAGCAAAACACGACATCATGTTGATACACAAAATATCTAATTAAAAATATTTTAAAATTTTAGATGCATATTATAGAATCTAGAAAGAGTGTTACTCACACATTCTGGATGTTTTCTTTATTCTATTTTTGAATGAAATGAAGCCTAGAGACCTTTATGTCATATTTGGTAGTGTCTCAAGTTCTCGATCCTAAAGAAAAAGGTCTCTGGAGTGTTACCGATCATCACAAATCGGTAATAGGCAGTTTGAGGTATGAATCAAGAAGCCTTTTAATCATCGTAATCTATAATGAATAGTCGGACTCTATTGACCTAAACGGCCTTTAAATCATCACATTTGGTGTGCACACTTTGAGGTTCTCGACCTCAAAGACATGTAAGTCATCAGGATCTGTTCTCAACAGACGGAAATTCTCATCCTCATCCCGTTATGGTCATCACATCAAAAATTAATAATAGACAGTCTGAAATTCCTGACGTCACAGGCCTTTAAACCGTCATAATCGGTAATGGACACGCACAGATTCTAGACTCTATAGGTCCTTTAATCATCATATTTTATAATGGATATTTCGTGACTATCGACCTTACAGGGGTTGAGGATAACACATTTAGAATAACATCATATTACAAATCTGGAAATCAACATAAATTCATTTCGGAAAGTCTAAGGCTTTAAAGCTAAGAGTTCCGCAAATCATCATAATCGGGAATAGAAAATCTGAGGTTTCTAAGCCTAGAGGTTCGTTTATCATCATAATTGGTAATGGATATTCTCGCATTCCCGATCCTAGATGCCTCTAAATAACCCCATAGGTTTTGAGATCAATCGGTAATGTGCAGTCTGAGGCTAATTATTTTTAAGGGCTTAAATCAATACAGTTGAAATAAACTGTAGAGGCCAGTCACCTTAAAAATGACATCATCACAATTGGTATCATCGGAAGCCCTAACTCGAGAGGCTTTTAAGTCGTCAAAAACGATTTTAACAGTAAGAATCTCGCCATTGTAGAGGCGCTCCCATCATCACAAATAGGTTAGACAGTATGAGACCCGTAGCCTTCAGTTCTGAATATGTAGCAGGTTCGAATAATTCTGTTTGTTCAGAAAACTGTAGGCGGGCGCAGCTTTATTACTATTCATTCAAGCATGAAAAAGCACAGATCCATGAGGTTTTCATTGAGTTTTATTAAATGTAGCTCGTTAGACTTGAATTTTCAAATATTTTATTTCATTTATGTTATGTAAATTAAATGAATTTTCTTTGAAGTTTGTTTTGTAATATTTGCCAACTGTCAAAAAATAATATTTTAAAAGTGAATTGAGAACAGTTTCTGAACTTACCAATATTTTTTCTTGTTAAATTTATTTGTGTTTTGTCAAATTCTTAAAATACTAAAAACAAAATTATTTTTAATAATTTCGACTGGCAATTTTCGAACTTACCATTTTACCATTTGTTTTTAACATACTTATTCCAGGTTATGATTTGCATTTTGCATGATTTTTAATTTCATTTCAAATCATTATTTGGTGTATATATAAAAAGTCGCCCAACCTTATTATATTATACTCCAAATTTTTTTAACTATTGCACATTATGCAGTGCCAATAATTAACAATTTTGTACTGTTAACTTTTAATTTGGAATTTTGAAAAATTTCCGAAAAAAGACCGAAATATTTTCTGTGATGAAGATACTTACTCTTCAACAAATCATTCTTTTATGAAGTATCAAAATTTTTTATTTGGTATATCAATTTTTTTTGAAAATATTTCAAAATTCACCGCAAACTCGATTTATAATATATGTGAAGAAAACTGAAATAATGACAGTATCTCTCCATCACAATCACATATGCTTTTGTGGATTTTATGGATATTGTGTGAATAACAACCTTAACATAATTACTGCCGATTTATTAGCTTAATTGCGATAGGTTAGATATACTAAACAGCATTTTAGCAAAACATGTCGCTTTTTATACGAAATTATTCATCTAATTTTTTAATTTCTTTATCCAGTCCTTGAAATAACTAAACAGTACGTTCAAGCTATTGCAATCATAAGTGAACACATGATCATATAAAATCGTATCGTCTAAAAGTATCCCATTCCCATAGAGCCATGTAATGCAGACAGTCGTAGGAAAAATGATTACTGCAGTATCATTATCAAGCACGGCTTTTAAATAATACATTAAAACGTATATTTAATGTCAATAGAGATGGAACTATTTTGAAGGATAAAGAGAATAAATATTTCAATATATTATATATATAATATATTTTCTAATAATTTTCATGATGTAAACTTGGTATTCTTGTACTTTTAATAGTTTCTGGTATTATAAGCAATACACACGTTTACTCGTTTTGGATCCTGTTTTCGTGTATTTGTGCTTGATGATCGTCTTCGATCATCTTCGATTTTTTGGCTCGCTTTTGGCTTGCACTTTACTAGTTTTAAGCGGATTTTATGAAATTGGTCTTTTCTTCCTTTGTGCTTCTATTCTGACAGTTTTTAATGCTGTAAACTAGCACTTTGTTTAGTTTACACTGAGTTCGCTCGCAACAGTTAAAGCGACTTAGGTGACGAGAAACAAGCAACTTAAAATATGCGTCTAATCGCGCGATGCGTAATATTTTTTGTCATAGATGTACTACTTCCTGCGATATTAAACGCACAAGTTATATACAATTCTTTCCATCTCTTTTAAAACGACAACTTATTTGTAGAAGAATTAACTGCATATTGTTTTTTAGGTGTAAGATGAATTTCTATATACATATTAAGTTAGTCTCTAGATTGAAACATTTGAATCCAGAGCCACAGCTGGTGTTGGAAAAAGAAAATAAACATATGATATTTTTAGAATCGAAAACGAGAGTTCTTTTATAATTGTCGCAGTCAGAAAACGTGGATTTGGTTTTAATTTTTGATTTATGAATTAGAAACAAATTTGTTGTTTTTGTCGCAGTCAAAAATAAGAAATCGAATTACTTCAACCTCAAATGCAACAGTTGTAGTTGCAACAACAATTACAATTTCAAAATGTCTTGCAACCACAACCTGAGATCGTTTATTAGATCCATTGAGATCCAACGATCGCGTTATGTAAATTCAATTAGTTTATCGTTGTATATTTAAAATTAATTGGAGAAGTTGGGCGGTCTGTAAGAGAACTTTATGATGTTGCCATATGGAATAAAAAAAACTTATGCTGAGATATATAAACTCTTCAGGCAAGTTAGAGTTAATAATTTGGAAGAGCTTTTTAGAACTTTCACTGAAACATGTGAAATAAATAAATTATATCAAGTTGATGTTAAGAAACCTGCAATCTATGATCCATCTAATGTTGATAGAGATCTCGTAGATTTATAACGTGAGAATATAGCAGAAGATGAAACCCTTCAAGATGTAATAAGTAAATATACTAAACTTAGTTTGATGACTGATAGAAGAGCAATAGATTATAAACACAAGATGACTAGAGCTGAAACAAATATATATACAAATTCAGTTGGAGAGATACATGAAACTAATAATTATTCAATTCAACACGAAAATTATAGAAACAATTATAATCAATATAGTGGTCGTAACAATAAGTAACAATAACACCAATACCAAGAGAATTTAATGTCTTTGAGACCTTCTCGTGGAGGGTTGCGGATTTTCCAAATCGTACATATAATGCTATTATGGGCACGAATTTTCTAACCGCTCTTAAAGCCAAGATTTACTTAGAAAACAATTCCAATTTAAATAATATTGCACTGTTAGAATCCGATTTTGATATAGAAATGAATTCAGATCATTTAAATATTGAGTAAAATAACGAAATAGGACAACTGTTGAATCAATGTCAAGAACTATTCTTTAAAGAATTCTTTTTAATTGTTATGCAAAAATACAGAAAATACAGAAAATATTTCCCTTATTATTAATAAAAACAATACTTTCCTAAATTTTCAGTATGTAACATTCGAGGTGCAGAATTGTGTAATTTGAAAAACTGTCACCATTTGCACTATTTGCATGGATTATTATTAACCTGCATTTCCATATATATTTCATATATATATATATATATATTTTCTTCTAAAAATATTTCAATACAATCACACATGTGGAGAAGATAAAAATATTTATATTAGAAATGGAACATCCGGACACCTTACCGGATGATTGTAATAATGTGAAGAGACAGAATGAAAAAACTCTAAAAAGACAATAACCCTCCCTATTTATTTAACTAATCTTATGGTTATTACATTTTATCTATATAATCGATATTCATATATTTTTTATTAGTCCCAAACATTGGAACGACTATGCCAGTTACATGACAAGTCTATAAGTATGTATAATAATTTCAACACATATTTAAATATTTTTTTTTATTTTTATGTTTTTGTATAAAAATGTCCATATAAATATATTTCATCTTAAAACTAAACATCTTACAACTAATTGCATTAAAGATATGCAATATACATCATCAAAATGGATCTGAATCTGGTTTTAACTTTCAATCTTACAACTAAATATCTTACAACTAAATATCTTAGAACTAATTGCATTAAATATATGCAATACACTTCATCAAAATAGATCTGGATCTGGTTCTAACAGTCAATGCGAATTTAAAATAGTCAATTTGTTTTTCAATATTCTGAAATAATAATTATGCGAGTCTCTTGCGAGTTAATATAAATCCCGTTTCAGTAGCTTATCAAATGATGCCTGTCCATTAATGCATCCATGTAGGTAATTTTGGATGCTGCAATGCTGCAATGCTGCATATCTAAAAATAGAGAACAGAGGGAGAATATTGTTAAAATTGATGATGTGAATAAATGTTCAAATAAGACATACCATAACATGATCAATCGATTAATCAATTAATGAAGTCAGTGAAAGCAATCGTTTTCGTCATTCATACGCGGCATCTTACGCTTTCATTCATAACTCATAAACATAGCCAAATATACACATTTTCCCATGTTATTTCCCCAATGAAACAAGTACTGGTTTAAGATTTTAGATTCAAGCAATTAGAATACAGCCAGGTTTTTAAAGGAGAAATAACATTTTAATTAAGATTCCATGCAGTCCATGCAAAATCTGACGAGTTATGTTGGTGGTTAAGTTCCTAATCAATACCAGTCTTGAATACCAGTCTTGATATGGATATGGAAGCAAAACACGACATCATGTTGATACGCAAAATATCTAATTAAAAATATTTCAAAATTTTAGAACCATATTATAGAATCTAGAAAGAGTGTTACTCATACATTCTGGATGTTTCCTTTATTCCAATCTTGAATGAAATGAAGCCTAGAGGCCTTTATATCACATTGGATAGTGTCTCAGGTTCTCGACCCTAGAGCAAAAGATCTCTGGGGTATTGCCGATTGTCACAAATCGGTAATAGGCAGTTTAAGGTTATAAATCAAGAGACATTTTAATCATCATAATATGTAGGTAATGAACAGTCAGGGACTTTTGACCCTAATGGTCTTCAAGTCATCACATTTGATGTGCACACTGTGAGCTTCTCGACCTCAGAGACATGTAAGTTTTCATAATCTGTACTCAGCAGATGGAGATTATCATCCTCATGTCGTTATAATCATCTCATCTATCATCAAAAATCGGTAATAGACAGTCTGAAATTCCTGACGTCACACGACTTCAAACCGTCATAATCGGTAATGGACACGCACAGATTCTAGACTCTATAGGTCCTTTAATCATCATATTTTATAATGGATACCTCGTGACTATCGACCTTACAGGGGTTGAGGATAACACATTTAGAATAACATCATATTACAAATCTGGAAATCAACATAAATTCATATCGGAAAGTCTAAGGCTTTAAAGCTAAGAGTTCCGCAAATCATCATAATCGGGAATAGAAAATCTGAGGTTTCTAAGCCTAGAGGTTCGTTTATCATCATAATTGGTAATGGATATTCTCGCATTCCCGATCCTAGATGCCTCTAAATAACCCCACAGGTTTTGAGATCAATCGGTAATGTGCAGTCTGAGGCTAATTATTTTTAAGGGCTTAAATCAATACAGTTGAAATAAACTGTAGAGGCCAGTCACCTTAAAAATGACATCATCACAATTGGTATCATCGGAAGCCCTAACTCGAGAGGCTTTTAAGTCGTCAAAAACGATTTTAACAGTAAGAGTCTCGCCATTGTGGAGGCGCTCCCATCATCACAAATAGGT